ATAATGTGGATCCACTTAAAAAGCATAATTTGGGACAGAGCACGGTGGCTCATGCCTGTAATCCCAGCACTTTGGGAGACCGAGTCAGGTAGATCACCTGAGGTCAGGAGTTCAAGACCAGCCTGGCCAGCTACTTGGGAGGCTGAGGCAAGAGAATCAATTGAACCCAGGAGGTGGAGGCTGCAGTGAACCGAGATCACACCATTGCACTCCAGCCAAATCAACAAGAGCAAAACTCCATCTCAAAAAAAAAAGAGTGTGATTGGGGCCCAGATGTCCTGACATAAAAAGGTAAGTGGAAAAAGCAGAACAAAGCAATACCCATAGTGGAATATGCAAATTTATGGGAGAGATTACATCTGGAAAGTGAAAAAAGGATAGCTAGGTGCTCAAGAAATTTTAGTTTTTACTTTAATCTTCTCATCTTTTTTGCCATGGGGAATTAATTGCTTTTATAAACTATATTTTAATTAGCAATATATGTACATATTTGATAATCTTATCCCTTATATGCTTTCCTTTTTTTTTTTTTTTTTTTGAGACAGAATTTTGCTCTGTCGCCAGGCTGGAGTACAGTGGCATGATCTTGGCTCACTGTAGCTGTGACTACAGGCGTGTGCCACTATGCCCAGCTAATTTTTTGTATTTTCATTAGAGACGGGGATTTCACCATGTTGGCCAGGATAGTCTTGATCTCTTGACCTTGTGATCTGCCCACCTCAGCCTCCAAAAGTGCTGGGATTACAGGTGTGGGCCACCACGCCCAGTCTTTTGTATGCTTTCTGAATATCTATATTTTTTCAATATTTCCAAATATGGGAGGAAAGAAAACCCAAAATAATAAAATTACATGCACTAACATGGAAATATGTTTTGATATATTGTTAAGTAAAAAGGCAAGTTATAAAACCACACATAAATTACAATCTCATTTTTGTTCAAAACTACCTTTTTAAAAAAAAAAAATGTGTGTTAGGCTGGGTGCAGTGGCTCACACCTACAATCCCAGCACTTTGGGAAGCAAAAGTAGAGATATTACTTGAGGTCAGGAGTTTAAGACTAGCCTACCCAACATGGCAAAACCCTGTCTCTATCAAAAAAATACAAAATTTAGCCAGGTGTAGTGGCACATGCTCATAGTCCCAGCTACTAAGGAGCTGAGGTGGGAGAATTGCTTGAACCTAGGAGGCAAAGGTTGCAGTGAGCCAAGATCATGCCACTGCACTCCAGCCTGGGTGACAGAGTGAGGCCCTGTCTCAAACAAACAAATAAAATGTGTACTATATTCAGAAAGAATGAACACTAACCTATTAAAAATAGTTACTTCTGGCAATGGAATTGAGAAAAAAAAAACTTGCTTTTTTACCCATTATACTTCTGTATCATTTCAATTTATCTTTTCTAGAGCAAAGTATGTTCTATTTTTGTAATTAGATGGTGACAATGAAAATAAACTAATAAATACTACTTAACTCTTGGCAATTTTCTTTTGGCATTTCTGCCTCAAAAATATTCCATGGTGACTTGGCTGCAAACAAGAGGAGGAGCAGATGTTATAGTCTGGACAAGCTGATAATATGGACTGAAGCCTTTATCACAGTCAACAGTGTTCAAATACATTTGGCCCAAATAAACTTTATTTTATATGCATCTATCTAAAAGAATAATATAAGAATTATTGAGCCCCCATGGCCTGTGTTAGGGCTGGACCCCAATGTTTTGTGTGCCCAACGTGCGGTGATCAAGGTGAAGAAACGCTCCAGCGTGTGAAAACTGAGAACGCACTGACGAAGGACACCCGAGTGTAAACTGAGCACTTCGGAAGCGCAGGGTAACTATAGGTCAAGGTGAAAGTAAGCATAAGGCTTATTTGAGTTTGTTAAGACAACTGTTTAAAAAGTGCGGAGTGGAGGTAAGAAGTCAGAATTTGCTGTTGCTGTTTAATACAATTGAGCAGTTTTGCCGTAGTGTCCAGAACAAGGAACAATGGAAGAATGGGAAAGAATTGGCAGGGGTCTAAAAAAAGGCTTTCAATGAGGGAGGTAAGATCCGAATGTCGGTTTGGTCTATTTGGGCACTTCTTAAAACTGCTCTTGAGCCATTTCAAACTGACGATGAAGCTGAGTCAGAGGAGGATGAGAAATGTAAAAGTTTATTCTTAGAATCAGAACCAGAGGACTTAGAGAAAGAGGAAGCAAGAGAGGACACAGAAAAACAGAAACAAGTATCTTCTACTCATCCTGCTCTGCCTGCTGAGGTTAGCAAATGGCCACCTCCTACTGCACATTTAATGGACAGGAAAAATGAAACTATTGCAAAATGTGCAGCCCAGGTATTTGCTACTATGCCTCCGGGTGCTACTAAGAGTCCTCTAGAGGCCGCTATTCAGAAGGCGAGGGTTGAAGGACTTATTGAGGCATGGCAGATTCCAGTAACCATAACTCAACAACAGAGTCAAAACATAACTTTTTCGTTTAAGTTGTTAAAAGAGTTTAAACAAGCCATCAGCCAATATGGCCCACATTCACCACTTGTACAAAAGATACTAAAAATGTGGCTTTTGATCGTAGGTTAGTTCTGTATGATTGGAACACGCTAGCAAAATCTGTTCTTACTCCTGCTCAGTTCTTAAATTTTAAGGCTAGGACCCAAGCAAGATGGAATGCACAGGCGCAGCCACCCATCCCTCTGTCACTGTTGATCAATTGATGGGAACTGGCCCTGGCTGGGGTAGACTCGGTAATCAAATTGCCGTGGGAGATGAGGCTGTTAATCAACTGCACCTAGTCTGTTTACGGGCTTGGGATAGCATAAATGTTACGGGGGTAAAATATCCTTTTTTCACTTCTGTCTGCCAAGGACCAAAAGAGCCTTATCCTGATTTTATCACCTGACTTCAGGAGGCAATAAAGAAGGCTGTCTCAGACAGGTACGCCCAAGACATCACGCAACTTCTTGCACATGATAACACAAATGCTGACTGTAGCGTGGCTCTTAGGCCCCTTAGAGGAAAGGCAAACCTTGCAGAGTACATAAAGGCTTGTCATGGTATTGGAGGATACCTGCACAAGGCCACCCTTCTGGCCCAGGCCATCAAAGGACTAAAAGTGGGAAAAAATATGTCTCATTTTTCAGGATCTTATTTTAATTGTGGCAATTTGGACATTCAAAAAAGGAATGCAGAGCCAAGCACTGTGGCTAACACGCGTAACACCACCACTTTGGGAGGCGGAGACAGGCAGATCACAAGGTCAGCGGTTCAAGACCAGCCTGATCAACATGGTGAAACTCTGTCTCTACTTAAAAATATAAAAATTAGCTGGGAGTGGTGGTGCACACCTGTAATCCCAGCTACTTGGGAGGCTGAGGCAGGAGAATCGCTTGAACCCGGGAGGCAGAGATTTCAGTGAGCCAAGAGCACACCATTGCAACTCCAGCCTGGGTGACAGAGCAAGAATTTGTTGCAAAAAAAAAAAAGGAATAAAATCTTAAAATGAGGACTGCAAATATGCGGAAGCATAAGCATCCTGGTGTATGTCCTTGATGTAAAAACGGAAAACACTGGGCAAATCAATGTCATTCTAAGAATAGCAAAGACCTGGAACCTACCCAAATGTCCATCAATGATAGACTAGACAAAGAAAATGTGGCACACATACATTATGGAATACTATGCAGCCGTAAAAAATGACGAGTTCATGTCCTTTGTAGAGACATGGATGAATCTAGAAACCATCATTCTCAGCAAACTGACACAAGAATAGAAAACCAAACACTGCATATTTTCACTCATAGTCAGGTGACAAAGAGTGAGAACGCTTGGTCACAGGGAAGGGAACAACACTCACTGGAGTAGGTGGAGAGGTGAAGGGGAGGGGAGGGACAGTTGGGGGGGCGGGGAGGATGAGGAGGGAGAACACTGGGAGGAATACCTGATGTAGGTGACGGGGTGGGGGATGGAGACAGCAAACTACCATGGCGTGTATGGACCTGTGCAACAATCCTGCAGGATGCAAGACATGCACATGTACCCCAGAGCCCAAAGTACAATTTTTAAAAAATGATTTACAGCATATTCATTAAGCAAGAATCATCTTCAGTCCTTTGTACTCCTTTCTGATGAAACACCACCTGGACTCCAGCCTGTTCTTCAGTGTCCACTAAGAACACCCATCTGCCCTCTCCCATCTACCTGCCTTTGAGTAGGCTCCTCTTACAGGCTAAGCAAGTTTTCACCGTTTTCTTTTTTTTCCTTTTTTTTTTTTTTTTTTTTTCTGAGATGGAGTCTCACTCGGCCACCCAGGCTGAAGTGCAGTGGTGCCATCTCAGCTCACTACAACACTGTCTCCTGGGTTGAAGTGATTCTCCCATCTCAGCCTCCTAAGTAGCTGGGACTACAAGCATCCACCATCATGCCCAGCAAATTTTTGGTATTTTTAGTAGAGACAGGCCTTCACCAGGTTGACCAGGCTGTTCTTGAACTACCGGCCTCAAGTGATCTACCTCGGCCTCCCAAAATGCTAGGATTACAGGCGTGAACCACCACACTCAGCCACCTTTTTCTGTCTCTAGAAGTCTTGCGGGTACTTAAGGACTTGCCCACATCTTATTTCTATCTTAAGACTTTCCTAGATTGCCCTGGGTTATAAATACCCCTGCCCAGAGTGTTATACTATTTTACTTCTATTGTTACTTCTATTATTATAGTCTGGGTTGTATTACAGTTTTGTGTGTATGTATTTGGGTGCATATTCCCACTCGACTGTGAATCTTTGGAGATTAGAATACAGCTTAGTTCATCCTGATTTTGGCATGGCACCATTTTTCACATATATCAAGCATTTAGGAGCTGTTACTTGAGATTAATTAAATGGGTTTTGTTCGGGTCATTTCTCTCCACCCACTCCCCACCCCAACCGTCACATCTCATAGAGTCATTTTTTTTTTTTTTTTACATTTCTAAACAAAACCTACAAAGTTAGAAGCCTGTGTATAGAATTATCCTCTCTCTAACCATTCTCTGTGTGCTGCGGAAAATGTCCCAGAATTATAACCTCCTACTTCTGTTTTTCTGCTTTTCCTTTCTAAGTCATTTAGAAATGACTCACTTTGAAACTCTTCCTGTGAAGTCAGATAGTGGTCTAGAGCATAAGGCTTAATTTGTTGCCAGAAACAGAGAAGGAAAGAAGGAGAGAATGCTCAGCAAATTTTGTCATACTTCATGACTTCATTGTGGCTAAGTTTGGGGACCAGACAGGACTCATGGGAACATCCAGGTGCTGAAGCCTTCAGCTACTGTCTCAGCTTTTTGGTAAGAAAATCTAAATCCACCTGATGACTTGCACTTAACCTGTTTCGCTCATTATAAGTAATGAGTTTAAGGGTCATTATCTTCTATTTCCCCATTCCTTCTCCAATTTTCAATTCTTTTGTCTTATCTCTATGTCTAACTTTCTGTTTCTAAATATTCCACATTGCTTTTGTCTTTGCTTTTAATATTTCATAGTGCAATTAATAGTGAACTTTATGCCATTTCTTTCCTGTCTTTGAATTAGCTGTGTATTTCCCCTGAACTTTGATTCTAGCTGTCCCCATTAGTTTGTTTTTCAAATCATTGATTGCCCTATTGCCCTTTTTTTCCCTTTCTATTTTCCTCTTTCTTTTTTTTTTATTCTTTTGCCCATTCCTTACTGCTACTGACTCTGTTATTCTATTATTACAATTTGATTCCGTGGTCCACGTTTCTTTCCCTATCATAGTGGAATTTTAGTTTCAGGATATTATCATTAAATTACTGCTGGTCAATTTCGTAATAATTTTTTTAATCCTCTACTAATCTTAAACATAAAGGTATGGTACTTTTTAGCCAAATTAACTTAAAGAAATGTAAAAAGTAATCTTGTTCTGAAAGACTTTTTTTCTCTTTTTTGTGACAGAGTCTCACTCTGTTGCCCAGGCTGGAGTACAGTGGCACAGCCTTGGCTCACTGCAACCTCCAACTCCCAGGTTGAAGTGATTCTCCTGCCTCAGCCTCCTGAGTAGCTGTGATTACAGGTATGTGCTACCACACCCAGTTAAATTATTTTTTTGTATTTTTAGTAGAAATAGCGTTCCACCACGTTGGCCAGGCTGGTCTTGAACTCCTGACCTCAGGTGATGTGCCCACCTTGGCCTCCCAAAGTGCTGGGATTACAGGCATGAGCCACTGCACCCAGCCTTGTTCTGAAGAACTTTTAATTACTGATTCATACATACTTCCATTTCAAAATAAATAATATGCGATATTTAATATATAGCTCATGCCAGATAACTCCATTTATTTTTATTGAAATTTCACCGTTTGTAGTTCCTGCTACTTCAATTCGTGCAGTTCTTGGCTGCTTCCCCTTTATTAGCAATGCCATAATCTTCCTTTTTTTTTTTTTGAGATGGAGCCTCACCCTATAGCCCAGGCTGGAGTGTAGCGGTGCAATCTTGGCTCACTGCAAACTCTGCCTCCCAGGTTCAAGTGATTCTCCTGCCTCAGCCTCCCAGGTAGCTGGGACTACAGGTATGAGCCATGCTCCACTAATTTTTTGTATTTTTAGTAGAGACAGGCTATCACCGTGTTAGCCAGGATGGTCTTGATCTCCTGACCTCGTGATCCGCCGGCCTCGGCCTCCCAAAGTGCTAGTATAACAGGCGTGAGCCACTGCACTCAGCCTACCATATATCTTTATATATATATATATATTTTGGTAGTAAAAAGAGCATTGGCCTAACAGTCACTGGACCTGAAATCCAAGATCCTCCCTAATAATGATTATATGAAAGGAATCTAATTTACTAAGTTTCACTGTCAAACTTGAGAAACAAAAGCTGAGACGATGTAGATTGGGTGCGGTGGCTCATATCGGTAATCCCAGCACACTCTGAGGCCAAGGAGGGAGGATTGCTGGAGACCAGGAGTTTGAGAGCAGCTTGGACAACATAGCAAGCCTCTGTCTCTACAAACGAACAAACAATGACCAGAAAAAAATGTAGAGAGGAGAGATGATTTCAAAGTTTTCTTTCAGTCCCAGCATCCTAGGACTCTATCCTTCTCTCAATATTTTAGGAAGTTACCTTGATAGGATTTAAATATCTGAGTAGACAAGGCCATAAAAAGGGGAATAGGAATCATTTCTTCTTTTTTATTTTGTTGACTTGCTATTTTAACTTCTGCTAATCACATAAGGCCCTATGAAAATATTTGGTTGACTCAGCAGAGCTACTTTCAAGCCACGAAAATATTTTGAGCCTCGTAAAAATAAATGTAAATTGTTATTATATCCAGTAAAACTTAGGAATTTAACAAAAAGAAAGTAAAAAGGGACAGCATGGGAATTCCGGAAGAGGCCCAAGTAAGGATTAAATGCATATAAATTAAAATTTTAGATTTAATTGCAAAAGAAAAAAAGTCAACCCCTAAAATGGGCATCCATCTATTCAAGTAATTTTTTTTGAGACAGAGTCTCACTCTGTCATGCAGGCTGGAGTGCAATGGTGCAATCTCAGCTCACTGCAAACTCTGCCTCTCCAGTTCAAGCATTCTTCTGCCTCAGTTTCCCAAGTAGCTGGGATTACAAGTGTGCACCACCACACCCAGCTAATTTTTGTATTTTTGGTAGAGACAGAATTCTGCCATGTTGACTAGGCTGGTCTCAAACTCCTGGCCCCAAGCGATCTGCTCCTCTTGGCCCCCCAGAATGGGGATTACAGGCATGAGCCACTGTGCCCCGCCTGTCCACGTAATCTTTAACCTCAAGGTCTCATAAGGCATTGTGTTAAACTGTGTGAAACAATCATTTATAAATAAGACTCTTTTTTACCATCATGAAGTTTAAATCTAGAATAATAGATTAGACAGCCATTATAATTATTACATAAGGTAAAATGCATCATTGCATACAGAATATGAAAAAAGTTGAAACACACACATTCACACACAAGTTAAGAAGCTGAAGACTTTGGGAAGGGCATAATTCCAGATAGAAGTAAACAGCATTAGCCATGGAGCAGAAGACGGCATTACGTTGGAATGGTGAATATCAAGTCGGGTGCATTTACGAGCATGTTCAGAATTAGGTGAAGGTAATGTCACAGAGGCCAAGAGAAGAAAGTGTTAAGAAGTCAGTGTATCTAATGACACATTATATTATGGAAGGTGGCAGAGAAACAAATGTTTGGATTTGGTTTTAGAAGTAATTTTAGCAGAATAATGGGGGCAGAATATACATTAAAAGGGTTAAGAAGTTATTGGTCAGAACAGTAGGCCCCCAAACAAACCAGTACCCTTGAAAAAGAGAAGCTATGCTAAATTAAGAGACTAAAGAAGAAAGTGCCATCTGAAATGGATATTGTTGTGGACAAGCCAGCTGTAGCTTTTTTTTCTTTGAGATGGAGTCTCCCTCTGTCACCCAGGCTGGAGTGCGGTGGCACAATCTCGGCTCACTGCAACCTCCACCTCCCTGGCTCAAGCAATTCTACTGCCTCAACCTCCCAAGTAGCTGGGATTACAGGTGTGCGCCACCACTGAAAATTTTTTGTGTTTTCAGTAGAGACGGGGTTTCATCATGTTGGTCAGGCTGGTCTCCAACTTCTGACCTCAGGTGATCTGCCTGCCTTGGCCTCCCAAAGTGCTGGGATTACAGGCATGAGCCACCACACCCAGCTGACAAGCCAACTACAAAAGATGTCTTAGGGACAGTTGAAAACTAATCAGATAAAAGGCGGGGCATGGTGGTTCATGCCTATAATCTCAGCACTTCAGGAAGCCAAGGAGGAAGAATCACTGGATCCCAGGAGTTGGAGACCAGCCTGAGCAACATAGCAAGACCACATCTCTACAAACAAAAGCAAAACAGAAAAAGGCTAGATATTCCTTAAGGTACATATTGTGTAATGTGGAGACTGCTAATTGAAAAAATAAAAAATTCTATGTTTTATAAAAAATATGCATTTACACCCATGTTCATAGCTGCATAATTCACAATAGCCAAAAGGTGAAAGCAATCCAAATGTCCTCCATCAAATGACTGGATAAACAAAATGAAGTATATACATACAATGGAATATTGCTCAGCCTTAAAAAGGAAGAAAATGGGGCCGGGCACGGTGGCTCACGCCTGTAATCCCAGCACTTTGGGAGGCCGAGGCGGGTGGATCACGAGGTCAAGAGATGGAGACCATCCTGGTCAACAAGGTGAAACCCTGTCTCTACTAAAAATACAATAAATTAGCTGGGCATGGTGGCACGTGCCTGTAGTCCCAGCTACTCGGGAGGCTGAGGCAGAAGAACTGCCTGAACCCAGGAGGCGGAGGTTGCGGTGAGCCGAGATCGCGCCATTGCACTCCAGCTTGGGTAACAAGAGTGAAACTCCGTCTCAAAAAAAAAAAAAGGAAGAAAATTCTGACCCATGTCACAACATGGAGGAAGCTTGAAGACATTTTGCTAAGTGAAATATACTCCAGGCATAAAAAGACAAATACTGGATGATTCCACTTATCAGATATCTAAAGCAGTCAAATTCTTAGAAAATGAAGATAGAATGGTGGTTGCCAGGGGCTGAGGAAAAGAGAAAATGGGGAATTCTTTCATGAGTACAGTTTTGGTTTTTGTAAGATGAAAAAGTTCTGAAAATTAGTTGTACAACAATGTGAATATGGTAAACGCTACTGAACTGTGTAACTAAAAATAGTTAAGATGGTAAATATTATGATACATGTATTTGTCAATTAAAATTTTTTTGTTAGGGCCAGGCACAGTAGTTTGCACCTATAATCCTAGCACTTTGGGAGGCAGAGGTGGGAGGATCACTTGAGCCTAGCAGTTTGAGACCAGCCTGGCCAACACAGCGAAACTCCGTCTCTACTAAATATACAAAAATTAGCTGGTGTGTTGCCCTGTGCCTGCAGTCCCAGCTACTCAGGAGGCTGAGGCACAATAATTGCTTGAACCTGGGAGGCAGAGGCTACCGTGAGCCGAAATCGTACCACTGCGCTTCAGCCTAAACGACAGAGAGAGCCTGTCTCAAATATAATAATCATAGGCTGGGGACAGTGGCTCATTCCTGCAATCCCAGCACTTTGGGAAGCTAAGGTGGGTGGATTCCCTGAGGTCAGGAGTTCGAGACCAGCCTGGCCAACTTGGTGAAACCCCGTCTTTACTGAAAATACAAAAATTAGCGGGGCATGGTGGCAGGTGCCTGTAATCCCAGCTACTGGGAGGCTTGAACCCAGGAGGCGGAGGTTACAGTGAGCCGAGATGGCACCATTGCACTCCAGCCTTGGTGACAAGAGTGAAACTCCATCTCAAAAATTATAATAAATAAATAAAGCACTGTCCTACATATTACAAGGCTTCTATTCATCATAGTCCCCTCGACTAAAGATATGTGTACATAAATACACACACACACACACACACACACACAAACATAAAAAAAAGGTCCAGATAATATAAATTCAGATGCTAAAATAATAATCACTGACTAGTGAGTATATTTTTATTTTCCTTTTCGTTTGTATATATTTTCCAATTTTCTTCATGCATATTTTCTGCTTTTGTAATAATAAGATTCTTTTTCCCAAGGTGTAGTTATAAAACACAAATAAATAAGAAAGAATTGACGGGTGATGTGGAAGTCAATGCAGAGGGTCAACAATTCTTGGAAAATGTGATAACAACATAAGATGGAGTTGTATCTAAAAGACATCACTGAGTCTAGAGTACCTCTTTCTGCAGCAGTGAGTCCTCTGAAAATCTGGTGGGGGGAGTGGATGAAGCTTCTGGCCTCAGAGAATGAGAATATGTAAAGTTGAAGTTTTGCATATCATTTTAGATGGTGATGGAGCTTCCTAAAACCCTTTCATGACCTCAGGTTGGATACTTCCAATCTAAAAGTTTTGGTTTACTTATTTAGATTATTTGTTTATTTTCAAACACACTAAGTGAGGAAAGGAGCCAGTGGAAAAACCAAGATTGAAAGTTCAAGAAAGTGGAGAAATTTACACAGATACAGACTTCCAGATGAGACTGTGATTTTGACACACACATAAATCAATACGGTAGATTTTAAATTGTCTATCATCGGACTGGTGTGGTGGCTCACACCTATAATCCCAGCACTTTGGGAGGCAGAGGTGGGCAGATCACTCAAGGGCAAGAGTTCAAGACCAGCCTGGCCAACATGGCAAAACTCCATCTCTATCTGAAAAATAATAAATAATAAATAAATAAAATTGTCTATCAGAGGATGCTTTTGTGTGGTCCAGTGTGAGGTAAAGGAAGGCAAACTAAAAAAGCGTGAGGGCCTTCATGGTTTTTCATGGTTCCACATCTTTATGTGGGAAGATTAGAATCCTAAGAATATATATGCATTTTCAAAAAGATACCATTCATTTTAACATTTTTTTCTTCTATTTGCAGAAGTTTACCAATGGAGTCTTTCTCTGCTGAGATCAATTCAACTGACCTACTCTTACAGCCATGGAATAAGCCCCCAGAAATTCTCTCCATGGTCATTCTCAGCCTCACTTTTTTATTGGGATTGCCAGGCAATGGGCTGGTGCTGTGGGTGGCTGGCCTGAAGATGAAACGAACAGTGAACACAGTTTGGTTCCTCCACCTCACCCTGGCGGACCTTCTCTGCTGCCTCTCCTTGCCCTTCTCACTGGTTCACTTGGCTCTCCAGGGAAAGTGGCCATACGGCAGCTTCCTATGCAAGCTCATCCCCTCCATCATTGTCCTCAACATGTTTGCCAGTGTCTTCCTGCTTACTGCCATTAGCTTGGACCGCTGTCTTGTGGTATTCAAGCCAATCTGGTGTCAGAATCATCGCAGTGTAGGGACAGCCTTCACTATCTGTGGATGTATCTGGATGGTGGCTTTTGTGATGTGCATACCCGTGTTCATGTACCGGGAAATATTCACTATAGACAACCATAATATATGTGGCTACAAATTTGATCCCTTTAACTCATTCGATTATTCAGACTTTTATGGAGATCTACTAAAAAACAGGTCTTTTGAAAACATGGTCCAACTGCCTGAAGAAATGGATGATAGGTTAGATCCTTCCTCTTTGCAAACAAATGATCATCCTTGGACAGTCACCACTCTCCTCCAACCTCAAACATTTCAAAGACCTTCTGCAGATTCACTCCCTAGGGATTCTGCTAGATTAACTACTCAAAATCCATATTCTCATGTATTTAAACCTGCTGATGTGGTCTCACCTAAAATCCGCAGTGGGTTTCCCATTGAAGATCACAAAACTAGCCCACCGAATAACTCTGATGGTTTTCTCTCTACTCATTTAGAGCTGTTCCCTAGGGCTTCTAGCAATTCCTTATATGAGTCTGAACTACCACAAGATTTCCAGGATTATTACTATTTAGGCCAATTCACATATGACAATCAAGGGCCAACACTCATGGTGGCAATAGTCATCACTAGGCTAGTGGTGGGTTTCCTGCTGCCTTCTGTTATCATGGTAACCTGTTACAGCTTAATTGTTTTCCGAATGCAAAGGGGCCGCTTCGCCAAGTCTCAGGGCAAAACCTTTCGAGTGGCTGTGGTGGTGGTCACTGTCTTTCTTGTCTGCTGGGCTCCATACCACATTATAGGAGTCCTGTTATTGTTCATTCAACCAGAAACTCCCTTGGGGGGAGCTCTGATGTCTTGGGACCATGTGTCCATTGCTCTAGCATCTGCCAACAGTTGCTTTAATCCCTTCCTTTATGCCCTCCTGGGGAAAGATTTTAGGAAGAAAGCAAGGCAGTCCATTCAGGGCATTCTGGAGGCAGCCTTCAGTGAGGAGCTCACACATTCTACCCACTGTTCCTTAAACAATGTCGCTTCAGAAAGAAATAGTATTAGCACAACTGTGTGAAAATATGGAGCAGTCAGCAAGCAGGGGCTCTTAGGTATGAATATTTCTAAAAGGATGAAGTGATAGGATGAAGAAGGGACTTCAGAAACTGTCAAAGAATCAACCCAGTGGTTCTTTTTTTTTTTTTGAGACAGAGTTTTACTCTTGTTACCCAGGCTGGAGTGCGATGGCACGATCTCGGCTCACCGCAACCTCCGCCTCCTGGGTTCAAGCTATTCTCCTGTCTCAGCTTCCCGACTAGCTGGGACTACCGGCACGCACTACCATGCCCAGCTAATTTTTTTGTAGAGACGGGTTTCACCATGTTGACCAGAATGGTCTCGATCTCTTGACTTTGTGACCCACCCGCCTCAGCCTCCCAAAGTGCTGGGATTATAGGCGTGAGCCACCGCACCCGGCCAATCCAATGATTCTTAAAGGGTGGCCACAAACTATTGGCATCAGTATCCCCTAGAAATTTGTTAGTAATGCAAATTCCCAAACCCCACCCCAGACTTGCTGAATTGGAATCTCTGGGGGTTGGGGCCCAGCAGGTGCATTTAACAAACCCTCTTGTTTCTCATTAATGCTAAATGTAAGAATCATTGTAAAAATGAGTTCTATTTCTATCCCAAACTGAGCTATGAATAAGAGAATTTACTGTTTTTAAATGTTTGATGTTAACTGTTTATTGATGTTTCCATCATTAAATTTTTCCTAAGCATTGTCTAAGTCTTCCAGATTCCATTTAAAACCATTTCTTCTTCTCTTACTTGAGTGAAAGATGATCATTTATTCTACAGCTCTGCTGTCATATGGTGTTGATGGTTTTAAATGAAAAGAAAGTGCAAAAAAAAAAATGCCTGTGAAGGCAAGAAGCCATGAGTCTGAGTCTGGAGCACAGAATTATACAATGCTTGATGCCTGTCCTGGGAACACTCCTGGGTACAGGTACAGGACATAGGAATTCTGAGTTTCCAGGCTGGGCACTGTGGCTCACACCTGTAATCCCAGCACATTGGGAGGCCAAGACAGGTGGATCACAAGGTCAGGAGTTCAAGTCCAGCCTGGCCAACATGGTAAAACATGTTTCTACTAAAAATACAAAACTAAAAAAAAAAGAAATTCTGAGTTTCCGCTATTACAACTAAATAACCATCCATTGCATGAAAAGGGACTACTAATACATGTAAAAACTGACTCATGAAATGTTATGAAAGCTGTGGTTTGGGGAGTTCTGTTTATTCTCTCTGCCTACTGGTTGACCACCTATCTTCCATTCCTCTTCTTAAGCTACTTAATTACCTTACTATTCCTCTGCCTGCAAATCTTCTGCATCAGACTTTGTGCCTCAAACAACCTCTAATTTCATAAGATTCTAGTTACTTCTTTCCTCTTGCTCCATATTAATACTTTATTAGAAACCCATTTCAAGCAGGAGAAAGAGGGTGCAGTATGAAGCAGCAGTTCTTCTACTCGCTGCAACGGAGGACTCTACCAAGCTTGCCGTCACATTTTAAAACATGACAGGCAAAGTGCATGCCAAAATTACCAAAAATATCTTCTGGGTTTTTTAAATTAATCTTTGTCTTTGCCAAAGTAATATATGCACATAGTTTTAAAAGAATTTAGTAAGGTATATAACAAAATATGAGGTCTGCTACTTCACTGTGCCCAAAAGTTCCCTCCTCCGTTTCTCATTTCCCAGAGATAACCCTTGCACAATTTGAGATGTTTTGTTTGATAATTACCATGATGTTTCTAAATCATGTGCTTATGCTGCTCTTTTCTGGAGACACGATAAAATGACTTCCTCTTTTGAAAGATGAAGATGTTTATCCAAGCACTCCATATTTTTGTTTATCCAGCAACCGAACATTCATTAATAACCATTATATTTTAATTCATTCATGACCACACATTTTTCTTTTACTTTGTCTATACACTCCAACCTTCTTTTTTTGAGATGGAGTTTTGCTCTTGTTACCCAGGCTGGAGTGCAATGGCGCGATCTCGACTCACCGCAACCTCTGCCTCCTGGGTTCAAGCAATTCTCCTGCCTCAGCCTCCCGAGTAGCTGGGACTACAGGCGCGCACCACCATGCCCAGCTAATTTTTGTATTTTTTGTAGAGACGGGGTTTCACCTTGTTGACCAGGATGGTCTCAATCTCTTGACCTCGTGATCCACCCGCCTTGGCCTCCAAAAGTGCTGGGATTATAGGCATGAGCCACTGCACCCAGCCTCACTCCAACCATTTATATAGCTTCCTGTCTGTCCCTCTTTCATTTAAAACAAAATTATCTAACTTCCTACCACCTTCTCATTTTTCTGTGTGTATAAACATTTATGTGTTAAAAGTCTGAAATTTCAGGCTTATTTGTATCACAACATGCCCTCATCTAAACTGAATACAAGGATGTAGTCTAAAAACAGAAAATGGCATGTGTTTTAGACTTGCTCATTATTTGTTCAATGGTTGAGATGAGGGTCCGGACTAAATATCTTTTATAAAGTACTATGCAGAAAAATTTCAAATCACTAGGAATTCTTTCAGTTGTGAAGAATGTCTGACCTAAGATTTGCAGTGCTACCTTTCCAGCTTATATATTAATTTACTTATATATTTGATATGAATAAATGCTTTTCTCTCATGGTTCTTTGCAAGAGTCAGAGATTCATAAATCCTTTTGTTTCACATTCAGAATATATGATAATCTCTAAATATGCAGCAAATAAATCTCCTAGTGAGTGCCTATAGACTTGATATAATAGCAATTAGCCCGGCTTCTGGAAACCCCAGCACATCACATAAGACCCTGGGAATAAGACCTAAACTCCTGGGGTTGGTATATAGGATATCGAGGTGAATAATCTTGACAGTTATAAAGATTTAACGTATGGTGAGTAATCAGTGATTTGTCTTTGCCAATATAATAATAAAGTATGTGCATGTATTACTTTGGCAAACACAAATGATGCACACAGCCTTTCTGGACTTTTTCCTTTCCATTTCCACTTTGGAAATATATCCTGAAGAAATTCCTACAATTAGAATTCCCTCATTTCTGATGAAAACCTGGTGAGTACCTGCAACTATTTTGTACTATATTTTCTCCAGAAAGTCCCAGGTGGGAACACAACTACTGTCCAAAATATAATATCTTTTTTTTTTTTTGAGATGGAGTCTCACTCTGTCGCCCAGGCTAGAGTGCAGTGGCATGATCCTGGCTTACCACAACCTCCACCTCCTGCGTTCAAGCAATTCTGCTGCCTCAGCCTCCCGAGTAGCTGGGATTACAGGCACCTGCCACCATGCCCAGCTCATTTTTGCATTTTTATTAGTGAACTTTCATCATGTTGGCCAGGCTGATCTCAAACTCCTGACCTCAGGTGATCCACCCACCTTGGCCTCCCAAAGTCCTGGGATTACAGGCATCAGCCACCACACCTAGCCAATATCTTTTTTTTTTTTTTGAGAGAGAGTTTCATTCTTGTCTGTGCAATGGCACAGTCTTGGCTCACTGCAACCTCCACCTTCTGGGTTCAAGCGATTCTCCTGCCTCAGCCTCCCAAGTAGCTGGGATTACAGGCATGCACCACCATGACTGGCTAATTTTGTGTTTTTGGTAGAAACAGGGTGTTTTTAGTAGCGTTGATCAGCCTGACCAACCTTTTACCATGTTGGTCAGGCTGATATAGAACTCCTGACCTCAGGTGATCCACCCACCGTGGCCTCCCAAAGTCCTGGGATTACAGGTGTGAGCCACCGTGCTGGCCCCAAAGTATAATATCTTAAATATTTATCCTAAAATGCAAGCAAGGTGGGCCTACTCCATACACCAACCTAAAAGGGGTGACTGACTCTCTTGCAATATTCCATCATACTTGATATCATTTGAAAAGAAGAATGTTAAAGACATGCCTTTGATTCTTCTTCCCCATCAATATCACAAAAAAAGTCAGGGTCAACTAATTCAACCAGTGGTGGAAGATGGAAGAGGAATAAAGACCAACTGAAACCAAATTATTTCACATTTCTATTTTCCTTCCCTGGCCAAAAGAAATTTGAGACCAGTACCAGGAAGATAAAACTGTAAACATTCTTTTTTTTTTTATTAAGAAAGCATGCAAAAAAACAATGACAACAACTTGTGAGACCGGACACCCCCTTCCCAGGATGCAGCAATGCAAAGCATTATGGGTGGTGGCACAAAGGACTCACCAAATCAGAAACATGAGGAGCAGGGACTGAGGAGAGAAAGGCTAGGATGGGTGGATCTATACCAAATAATTACTCCTTGTGTCCCTCTCCTCCACTTTCTCTCGTATTTCCTCTTACAGGCAGTGAGCTCCTGCAGTTTTGCAAACATCACCCAATACAACAATTATGACTACACTTCAGGTCTGGCAATGCTAGACCAACAAGAAAAGTAGTATTCTTTTCACTTCATGGGGCTGGGGGTGGGGGGGCAGGAACTGAGGCCCAAAGGAAGTCAGGTGTGCTCTGTGCCATGAAACAAGGCTGAGCTTGGTGGAAGGGAGCTGGGATCTCAGGAGGCCTGATGGCCAATCTCCCATCCCAGACCCAAACTTCAGCTACCCTGGCTCCACACCAGAATTCTTCATGAGATTAGTTTGCAGAAGACACAGATAAACAAGGGGCATTTGTATGTATGAATCAGTTCACCCTTGCAAATCCTGTATGGGTCTGAACAGGAAAAGGGTTTAGAAAAGAGGAGTGATCATTTGCAAAGGGGAGAGCTGATGGGAAGTTGTGTCTAGGACGCACCTTAACTGGAAGGAATAAGGAAGGAAAAGATGCCTAAAATAGGGACACTGGGCAAAGGCATTTTGCCATCCTCTAAGAGAAATTCTCCTTTCCCCAAAGGGAAATATTATATCATACTTCAACCCCACTAAGTGCCCGCCAGCATCATGGGAGAGTCAAGCCACTCGCACCCCCATTTCTTTTTTACAAGGCTTTAAAGAAATAAAGTGCTCTTTAGTTAACTGCCCTATCTTGCCTCTTTACTTCAGCCTCACTGGACTTCTTCAATAAACTCTCATATATAACCCCCTTCCAAAAAAAGGAAAGGGGTGGATGAAAGAAAAAAGCAGGAGAGCAGAAAGCCAAATCTCTCGGAAATCATGGGTAAATAAAATAACATGAATGAAAAGCAGAAATCACAAAGAAAGTGGCCTTGTCTATTCCATACATTTTGTACCACAGATTTTCAGCAAGTGAAATAAGGACAGAAGTAAAATTGTTTTTCCCTCTCATAACTAAAATTCAGCAATTAACATTAAAATACACTGAGTACTTTGCAACAGTAAATCATAGCCACCCCTTGTAAAAGTAGATGAGTTAGCTCTATGCCTTTTTTCTGGGGGTCCCCCTTGGCCCTCACTGAATTCTTGCCTCTAGATTATTTACTCTCCTCCACCAATCTCCTTCACCCCTCAAAAGCCTACTTGCAAAAGCTTCAGCCAGATGATCTGGATTCTAAGAGAAGCATCTGCCTATATATTTAAAGAACTAAAATATTCCCTATCCATTTCTTTGCCATCTCCCTTTCCTTCTCCTCATCCTCCTACCACCAACACTAAAGGTTTGGTTCTGCTATGAGAGGTGGGAAAGAGATTCTCATCATGTCTTAGGACACAACAAAACTCAGCGTGATAACGGGTTACTTTTTCTTTCTTGAGAATCCCAGAAAAATGAGGAAAGAAAAAGATGGGTTGAAGATTTGAGCAAACAATCAAAGGAGGACAAGCTAATATTTGCTGAATGAGAAACAGGGATGGGAAGATAATCCGTAAATACAAATAAGAGCCACAATTAATTTTCAAAGAAAAATACTTTTCAAAGCCAAAATAGTTAAGTTGGAATCATCTCCAAGAAGCTAAAGCAATGCTGAATAGTTGTCCTCATGCCCTACCATAGAAGCAGAGTCTGGGCTAAAACCAATCCTATCCTCTCAGAGAATGGGCTCAAAATCAGCCAATGGACACTGATGTACCATGACAGAGCACACCCAGTTTCACACTGACTTATATTCCGTCTCTTCTAACCCAGGTCCCCAATTCCACTAGGATTTTATTGTCACCCTCCTGCACCACCGTCATCACTTTTACCCTTGATAGGAAATGCAGACTGGCAGAAGTAAGGATTGACAGTATAAAGGGACAAGGAAGGCCTCAAAGGACAGAATTAGCACCATTTTAAAATCTCCAAATTCTTGGCTGCCAAGTAATGTTTCAGACCCTTTCTATTTGATCATGTGGCCTCTCCAGTCCTGGCCTGAAACTGACGGGAACAAAAAATAATTTAGGGCCAAAAGGTGGGATTAGCATTCAGTTTCTCCAAGAAAAAGGTAAACTAGACTTTGAAACCTTTCTCTGTAGCAATCGTGGCTTCATCTTCCAGCCTGATGATTTTACATTAGCAAGAGGTGAACATGATCCATGGTGTAGGGACGGCGGACAGTATATAACCAATAATAATAATAATAATAATATAAGAATAATAATAAAAGAGTTGGGGAAAAAACAGGAAGGAAAAGAGAAGAACGAGGCAGGAAAGGGGGGTTATCTTCGGCAGCATCTTGCGGTGGCTTCTCTGACAGAGAAAGAACAAAAAGAGGATATATGTCTATATACAGATGGAGGGGAAGGGAAGGGCTGGGGTTGCTCTTTCCCCACTGCCAGACTTCACCACTCGGCCCTGGGCTGATGTCCACACTCTGTGATGCACTAAGTGATCAAGTCCCAGTCGAAGTCATCAGGGATCTCCTCATTGGCACCAGGAGGTGGCACTGGGGGCCGAGGGACCATATGGTGTGCTGTTAGAAAGAAAGAAGGAGAGTGAAAGGAGAGTAGATGGGAAGCTGTTCCCTCAACCTAGAAGGACTATGCTCAGCCCCAGATAACACCATGAAGAAGGGCTTGTGAAGCTATCACCCGTATCAGCTGGAGTTATTTTTGGTTGCAGGTCACCACTTCAGTGAAGTCTCAGGAAATAAACTAAACTACATTCCACAGCAATTAAATATTATGCTGTCATTAAAAATTATACTTCTGAAAACATATGATAACGATAAAATAACATACAGAAGATAATATCATACAGCTGGGAGCAGTGGCTCACACCTGTAATCCCAGCACTTTGAGAGGCCAAGATGGGTGGATCGCTTGAGGTCAGGAGTTCTAGACCAGACTGGCCAACATGGTGAAACCACCTCTACTAAAAAATAAAAATTAGCCAGACATGGTGGTGGGCGCCTGTAATCCCAGCCACTCAGGAGGCTGAAGCTCAAGAATCACTTAAACCTGTGAGGCAGAGGTTGCAGAGAGCCAGGATTATGCCACTGACCACTGTACTCCAGCCTGGGCAACAGAACAAGACTCTGACTCAAACAAACAAACAAATAAACAAACAGAAGATAATATCACATGAAATAGCAGTATAGAAATTTGTATTTATATTAAATGGACAAAGAATACAAAGAGTCAGATATTGCCCCCAAAAATTGAAAACACTTGTGGTTTCAGGCAGAATAACAGTGATTTTTCTATACGTGTCTAAATGTGAAGGATCTGTTCACTTTGTTCTATCTATGGCACTTCAGTGTCTCCCTACCCCACCCCCGCTAACAGAGCTAGTTCAATCCCAGACCCCTGATTCTGGAGATCAGGTGACAGAAAAGCAGACATGGGCATAAAGCAAGTATGTGTAGATAACGAATTCATTTTATTTGCCTGAGCACATCTTCCATCTAGATTCCAAAGCCACACATAAATGTTGCATGTAGCTATTTTTTGTTTATATGTATGCTTTCACTTCCTTTTACTTATGCAGTCACTAGCTAATTTTAAAGTACATCTAGCTGGGTGTAGTAGCTCACGCCTGTAATCCCAACACTTTGGGAGGCAGAGGTGGGCAGATCACTTGCAGTCAGGACTTCAAGACCAGGCTACCCAACATGGCAAAACTCCATCTCTACTAAAAATACAAAAATTAGCCAGGCATGGTGGTGTGTGCCTGTAATCCCAGCTACTTGGGAGGCTGAGGCAGGAGAATCACTTGAACCCAGGAGGTGGAGATTGCAGTGAGCCAAGATCACACCACTATACTCCAGCCTGGGCAACAGAGTGAGACTCTGTCTAAAATAAATAAATAAATAAGGTAAATCTGTCTTCTTTAGTCTCCCCTGATATATATCTCCAGAGCAGGTAGCCTTGGGAATTATAAAGGCTCATTCCCTCCTTCAGATGCTGGCAAAAATACAGAGAATCCCAGCTCAGAGTTAAAGGAAAGCAAAAGAGCTCATCAGATTACCACAGTTTTGAAACAAGCTTCCTCGCTCTTACCTGGGCGATTGTAGCCTGCTGAGTCCTGGGTGGGGATTGGGTACATTGGTGATGGGCCAGGGTAGAGGTGGGGAGCTTGTGGGTGCCCATAAGAGTTTACTGCCAAAGAAGAGAAGAGTTACTTGAGTTGAGGGGGGTGGTGGGTCACTATACTCAACAAAGCAGGGAGGAAAAGAATATACCCTTGCTCCCATCTTCTTTCTCTCTTCCTTGCCCTGTTCTATAGCTCCTGCAGGCTTGAAGCTCCTGTTCTATAGCTTCTGCAGAAGCTACCAGTCCTCACCACTGAGGGTAGAAACAAATGGATACTACAATTGTGAAATCACTAAGATATAAGGATGAAAAATATAGAAATGTAGGGCCAGGTATGGTGGCTCATGCCTGTAATCCCAACACTGGGAAGCCAAGGTGGGCAGATCCCTTGAGCTCAAGAGTTTGAAGATAGCCTGGGCAACATGGTGAAACCCCAGCTCTACACAAAATACAAAAAAATTAGCCAGGCATGGTAGCAAGCACTTGTAGTCCCAGCTACTTGGGAGGCTAAAATGGGAGGATCAGCAGAGCCCAGGAGGTCAAGGTCGCAATGAGGTGTAATCACACCACTGGACTCCAGAGCCTAGGTGACAAAGCGAGACCTCATTTCAAAAAAAAAAAAAACAAACAAAAAGCAAGAAACCAGAATATTAATCACAACATGTCTTTCATTTCACTAGTTTGAAGATCATATACATATAGAACCACCATTTCAACTGGTATCATCCAGTTAGGGATTACTGAGCCACAGATTGAAAATAGGGCCTTTCTCTAACAAATTTCCTCCCTTTTCTTAAGTAATTCTGATCTCCCAAACCAAGGCCTAAAAAGAAATCATACAATATTTCTTTTGCATTTTTCAGTTTAGGACTTCACTAACTCAACAGATGTTTAGTCAATTGATAAACTAGTTCCACTGCTCAGTTTGGATCACTGCCCCATAAAATGCTTTCTCTCTGTTCTCTTTTGTCTTTCTCTTCTCCTTCCTTTTCATCACAGTCTCTACCTCCATGGCAACTGTCTGTGCAGTACCTTGGCTCATGGCTGACTCCTGTTTGCCACTGGTGAGGGCACAAGAGTCAGCAATACGGGCAGGGGCTGGTGGCCGGTGGGTACCCCCTTGGGGGGTCACATGACCAGTCTGAGTAAGGAAGTGGTTGAGGGAGTCACACAGATTGGCAATGTGATGCTGGTCGAGGGTCCAGTTCTTCTGCTCTGCCTGTCGTAGACTCTCCATTAGTTCTACAAAGAGGAAAGGAAGCAATGCAAACCTTGTAGAGGCAAAAAGCCCCATAAGACCCAGCCCTATTGCACCATTCCAAACACACCATAAATCATTACCACTGATAACAGGCACTAACAATAACAATTTACATCTTTTAGAGCTCTGCATTTTTAAACTCTCATTCTATTTGATCCCTTACCAAATTCTTTTTTTTTTTTTTTTTTTTAAGTATCATTCTGTCACCCAGGCTAGAGTGCAATGGCACAATCTCAGCTCACTACAACCTCTGCATCCTAGGTTCAAGTGATTCTCCTGTCTCAGCCTCCCGAGTAGCTGGGATTACAGGCACGCACCACCTCGCCCGGCTAATTCTTTTGTATTTTTGTAGAGATGGGGTTTCACCATGTTGGCCAGGCTGATCTCGAACTCCTAACCTCAAGTGATCCACCTGCCTTGGCCTCCCAAAGTGCTGGGATTACAGGCGTGAGCCAATGTGCCCCACCTCCTAATTCTTATCATAATTTCCATCTTACTGAAGAATATGATAAACTTTCAACGTGACTGAGTGACTCAGCCAAGGTCACACTGTCAGTATCAGTAAGTGGTGACAAAACTACAAAATAGTGGTCCAGGGCTTCCAAATTCCTGAGAGCCTTCTCTCTCCCAAAGACAGAATTCACTGCCATATTTTGAGTTAAGATAAAATTAATTTGAGTTACTTTGAAAATAATGTAAATATTATCCATCTTGCATAATATGAAAGAAAAACAATGAAATCCTCAATTTCTGAACTTCATTTAACCACCCCCTTCCGGTTCTAGTTTCTACTGGGTTTTCCCTTCATCCTTTGATCACTAACCTGAGAACTGTGACTGCTCAATGCTGGACCAGTTGAGCCGATTCACCATCTTGAAGCTTTCCTTTAAAGAGTCAATATTAGAGCACCAGTCAGAAGGAAAGGCTGTAAAGAAGAGGGGAAAGTGGATAATAAGACAGAGTGAAATGTAAGACAGCATCAGCTGACCCCAGACTGACTGCATGCAAGATTCTTGCATCTATAGAGATTATCAGCTGCATTTCCAAGTTTTGGACTCTCTCTCCCTGGGGATTTAGGACTGGAAAAGCTATCTATACTGTGGGTACAACCAGCCTCATAGTCAGGAGAATACGTAAAACAATCTCAATTGATCCAAAAATTCTGTATGACAGAGCCCTAAATAGTAACTTCGTTCAGATGAGCTCACATGAAGGAGCAAGCTTAAAAGACACATCATTAACGAACTGCACCTCCATGACAAAGTTAGGACAAGGGCATCATCCAACCCTCTTCTACATCACTCTGCACCTCCTTACTCACCAAAGCCAGTGCTGTTGATGGGAGCCTGGCCTTGTGCCTGTGGCTGTGGAGGTGGTGGCTGCTGGGTAGGGTGGGGGTGGGGATGGTGCTGATGAGGGTGGTAGCCTCCATGCTGCAGTGGAGGTGGATGCATGGCCATCACAGGGGGAGGCCCATAGCCTTCTGCCCCAGCTTGCTTTCCCCCTGGTGGGGTACAACCATCTGGGCTTGGGGTGTGCAATGGAGGAGCACCCCCTACAGCTGAGGGGCCCTGGGCAGGTGCCTGCTGCTGCTGTGGTTGGGATTGCTGGGGTGGTGGCTGTGGTGGCGGCTGCTGCTGCTGTTGTTGAGGTGGCGGTGGCTGCTGCTGCTGATACATGTAGTAGTTGTTCGAGGGTGGGATGTCCCCCAGGAGAGACGAAAAGCCTGCAAGTGGGGAGGAAGCAGGCAAGTGACTTAAGCAATGCATTTTTCACAAAATGGGATTTTCCCTGGTTGAGCTCGGAAGTCTCAGACTGAAACTGTGAAGTTAAAAGGATAAGAATGTTCTAGGGCAGCAAGGATCCCTGTGGCCCTCCTGGCAGGTATAAGAGATAAGAAGACACTTAGATTAGAGGAGGGCCCTGATAGTGTGGAAACCACTGAAATCTTACTAAAAAGGTCAGTGTGCAGCTTTTAATGCTACTTCTCAGAGATTTGGGTGTAGGCCTGAAATCAGTTTCCCAGCAGGTGAACTTTAAAAAGGAAACCATCCCTGGTCGGCTAGTGTTTACGGGGAAAGAAAACAAAGAAACAAAACAAAGCCATTGGTCACATACTGTCTCCTCTTCCATATTTTCTCTACACTTTGCTACTGCCAACTCCTTCCTGTATTCTCTTTTTTTTTTTTTTTTTTTTTTTGAGACAGTTTCGCTCTTGTTACCCAGGCTGGAGTGCAATGGCGCGATCTCGGCTCACCGCAACCTTCACCTCCTGGGTTCAGGCAATTCTCCTGCCTCAGCCTCCTGAGTAGCTGGGATTACAGGCACGCGCCACCATGCCCAGCTAATTTTTTTTTGTATTTTTAGTAGAGACGGGGTTTCATCAAGTTGACCAGGACAGTCTCGATCTCTTGACCTCGTGATCCACCCGCCTCGGCCTCCCAAAGTGCTGGGATTACAGGCTTGAGCCACCGCACCCGGCCTCCTTCCTGTATTCTCTACAAACAAATGCTGCTTGAGTGAGGAGCACAGATGGGATGGAGTTACTTCTCAAGTAGACAGGCCGGGAAGAACAAAAGCCTAAGCCTAGGGTCTTTCAGTCACAATAAAACTTGAGTGAACACTAGGCTGTCCTCACTCGATCTAATTTTTTACTTTATTTCTGACAGTTTCTCAAGTTCCCACCTCCAATCAACCAACCACCTGGGTTGGATTTATTTCTCAAGCAAATGCTACAGTCTTGGAACACAACTCTAGAAATTGATCTCCTGGGATATACAAGAAGAAATTCATGAATATTAATATAAGTTTTCCGAAAAGTAACTCCTAACCAGTTTTCATCATTTCATTCAGCCCCTGCTGCCAATAAAGAGCCACTGCACAGAAAGAGAAGGTCCAATTCCTCACCTGAAGTCAACCTCACAACCTTAGAAATCTCTACATTATTTAAAAAATGCACACACAGGAATTGCAGAGGGATGAACCAGATGTTCTCTCAAGAGGCTTCCCAATAAAAACTTTAATTCATTCTCACATGATAATTAGGGAAATATGCATGGACAAGATACTAGCTGATATTAAGAATGTACAGTCAATTATGTTAGGAGAGATAATGTCATAGTACACAACCATAAGAAAAGTCATCATTTAGGTATATACATCAAAATTGTATTTATATATATATAAATTGTATTTATGGGTGGAATGACATGGTATATGTGAATTCCATTAAATTACTCCAGTTTTTAGAAGGCTCTGTGGTAAACAAAACAAGCCTAGTAAAATACTAATAACTGTTAAAGCTGGGTGATGGAACACAGGGGTTCATTATATTTTTCTCCACACTTTTGCATCTGTTTGCAATTTTTCACAATAGCAGTAACATAAATATAAATACACTAAAAAGTCAAAAGAAACTTTTCACAATGAAACGCAGGGATTCCTGGGGAGAGGGTACTGGTACTGTTACTGTCCCCTAGTGGTCATCCTCCGAATGACTCGCTTGCAGCCATAAAATCGCTGCCTTTAGTTCTGGAAGGGGCAATCCTCCAACTGACTTTCTGAAGCAAATAACCTATCCTGCCTCCTGAAACAGCTGTATTTGCACAAGGACAGATGAGCTCGCTCGGCTCCAGATTTAGTTCATGAAATATTTCCTCTGAGTAGTGATACCTCTCGTTGTGTTAAAAATAAGAAATATGGGCCGGGCGCGGTGGCTCAAGCCTGTAATCCCAGCACTTTGGGAGGTTGAGACGGGTGGATCACGAGGTCAAGGGATCGAGACCATCCTGGTCAACAAGGTGAAACCCCATCTCTACTAAAAATTCAAAAAATTAGCTGGGCGTGGTGGCGCGTGCCTGTAATCCCAGCTACTCAGGAGGCTGAGGCAGGAGAACTGCTTGAACCCAGGAGGTGGAGATTGCGGTAAGCCGAGATCGTGCCATCGCACTCCAGCCTGGGTAAGGAGAGTGAAACTCCATCTCAAAAAAAATAAAAAATAAAAAATAAAGAAATATGGGCCAGGCGCAGTGGCTCACACCTGTAATCCCAGCATTTTGGGAGGCCGAGGAGGGCTGATCATCTAAGGTCAGGAATTCGAGACCAGCCTAGCCAACATGGTGAAACCCCATCTGTACCAAAAAAATACAAAAATTAGCTGGGCATGGTGGCGGGCACCTGTAATCCCAACTACTCTGGAGGCTGAGATAGTAGAATCACTTGAACCCAGGAGGTGGAGGTTGCAGTGAACCAAGATCTCGACACTGCTCTCCAGCCTGGGCAAAAAACAGCAAAACTCTGCCGAAAAGAAAAGAAATGAAATGAAAAGAAAAGAAAAAAGAGAAATATGGCCAGGCACGATGGCTCACACCTGTAATCCCAGCACCCTGGGCCTTGAGGCCAGGAGTTCAAGACCAGCCCGGCCAACATGGTGAAACCCTGTCTCTACTAAAATTAGAAAAATTAGCCGGGCATTGTGGCACGTGCCTGTACTCCCAGCTACTCAGGAGGTTGAGGTGAAAGAATCACTTGAACCCAGGAGCCAGAGGTTGCAGTGAGCCATGATCGCACTACTGCACTCCAGTCTGGTCAACAGAGTGAGAACCTGTCACCAAAAAAAAAAAATTAAAATTAAAAAATAAGAGAAAAAAAGAAAATATCACCACTTGTTCAACAAGATAAAAAAGTCTCCACGCACCCATCCCAACTCCAGACTCACCGTGCTGAGAGGAGGAAGAGGACTTCTCCAGCATGGATTTATAGAGGTTGCGGAAGGACCAGCTTAGATCCTGAAAGTTGATCTCTGAATAGGAGAATTTAAAGTCATGGTTGGTGTTATAGAGGGGAGGAGGACCCTCAGCACTTTCTCGGCCTGAAGCCCCTGCTGCCACTGCTCCGTCATCCACAGATCCTGTGCCCTGCAAAAACAGGTAAGAAATTCCTGATCGGTGGCCCAGCTGAGGGACCAATACAACCCTTCAGTGATCACCAGGCTCTCCTGCCTGTCCTCTTTTCCTCTCCTAGCTCTTCAACAACCCAGCATCATTCTCTCCTTTTCTCATTGATTCTTATCTTGAATCTACCCTCTTTCTCTCCTTAGTCTCCATTTCTTCTTTTTGTTTGTTTGTTTCTGAGGCACGGTGTCAGTCTGTCACCCAGGCTGGAGTGTGACAGTATGATTTCAGCTCACAGCAACCTCCACCTCCTGGGTTCAAGTGATTCTCCTGCCTCAGCCTCCCAAGTAGCAGGGACTACAGGTGCAAGCCACCATGCCCAGCTAATTTTTGTATTTTTAGTAGAGATGGGGTTTTGCCATGTTGGCTAGGCTGGTCTCAAGCCCCTGGACTCAATGATCCACCTGCCTCGACCTCCCAAAGTGTTGGGATTACAGGCATGAGTCACTGCACCCAGCCTTTTTTTCCTGATCTTTCTCAAAGTTCTGCTATGCTTTTCTATTTCTCTATTTCCCTCTTTTGCATTCCCCTTCTTTCTCAATTTACCCGCCTCATATATCACAGATATTCAATACATAATTCTGAATGAACAGGGAGACATATGAATCTATTCACCACCCATCCCATGACCCCTGCCATATCTGCTTCCTACTTGGCTGTAGCTAGCAATAGATGTGGGACTCTGAAGTGACATCTGAGGATTCCCCTCGGGAGGCAGCGAGGCTTCTCCACTCCCTGGAATGCCTCCCCGTGGGCTCTTGCTTGCCTCCTGTTCTGGTGAGTCTTGGGACAGCTGAGGGTTGTGAAGAAAAAGAAATCTATAAGCAGAGGCACAACATCCTCCCAAGACCCATGGTTTCCCCTCTGCTGGTATTCCTTCCACCTTTGCCTCTGAAAGGACTGAACATTCACAAGAGAAGGTGGAAGGAGCAGCTGGCTTAGATGTGGCATCTCCCCATGAGCTGCGAACTTACATCATCATCTGGAGGATGTCTTCTCTTTCGGGAAATGTCAGGGCAGGTGTCAATTGTCCAGTAGGAACCCTGGAAGGAGATTCCATTCCCACAGAGATCAAAATCATTACATTCAGAACCTCCCAGGGTTCTGGGTATTAATGAACAGCAAATTTGTCCTAGAAACTCACTGAGTATGCCAGAGGTACTCCTGTGGCCCAAACACAGGCCTCAACTGTTTTGGAGGAGCAGAACAATGGCATCTAGCTCAAAGAGCTGAAAATGTCCAGACACAGCCTCTCCCTTCCCTTCTGACCTGAGGCAAAACTTGACTTTAGCATCCACATCTGTCAAATGGAGAGAATGATCCATCCCTTCTCTTTTATGGGGGAAACACCAGGGACTTTTGTTTAGAGGCATTTCTACAAAGGTTATTAAGTCTACCTTTTACATCTAGGAAAAAAGAATGACACACAAAAAAGAGGGAGCAGGAAAGTCAACTTTACCCTAAGTATATCTTTTTCTTTTTTTTTTTTTTTGAGACAGAGTTTTGCTCTTGTTACCCAGGCTGGAGTACAATGGTGCAATCTCGGCTCACCGCAACCTCTGCCTCCTGGGTTCAAGAGTTCTCCTGCCTCAGCCTACCAAGTAGCTGGGACTACAAGCGTGTGCCACCATGCCCACATAATTTTTGTATTTTTAGTAGAGACGGGTTTCACCATGTTGACCAGGATGGTCTCGATCTCTTGACCTCGTGATCCACCAGCCTCGGCCTCCCAAAGTGCTGGGATTATAGGTGTGAGCCACCGCTCCCGGCCTCTATTTTTTAAGAAAAAATTTCACAGTCTCTTTTCTTTCTTAGATGGAGTTTCACTCTTGTTGTCCAGGCTGGAGTGCAATGGAGCAATCTCAGCTCACTGCAACCTCCACCTCCCAGGTTCAAGCAATTCTCCTGCCTCAGCCTCCCAAGTAGCTCGGATAACAGGCATGCGCCATCACACCCAGCTAATTTTTTGTATTTTTAGTGGAGACAAGGTTTCACCATGTTGGCCAGGCTAGTTTCGAACTCATGACCTCAGATGATCCACCCGCCTCAGCCTCCCAAACTGCTGGGATTACAGATGTGAGCCACCACGCCCGGCCTCACAGTCTTTCTTAGTCACCCATTCTACTGGGGGCCCACAAGCTTGACAACCAAGTTCTTCCTCTGAGAAAAAATAAAGATGCTTCTCTAATTAGCATGATTTCCTCTTCCATATAATTAAAACAGCCACAGGACTCTGGACTATCAACTTCTTCACTCTCCTTCCTGCTCCTCCCCTCAATGCTTACAGTAGTCTCTCACCTTCCCGGGGTCATCTCGAGGTCTGGGCACCTTCCGGAAGCACTTGTTGAGAGACAGGTTGTGCCGTATTGAATTCTGGGGATGTAGAGAAGCAAGTTAGACCTGAGCATTGTGCAGAGCAGAAAATTTCCCAAAAGAACACAGAGGGACACACAAAAAAATAATACGCCATGGAGTTCAAGTATCAGGATAAACTTAGTACCTCTTAACTACACTGATGGAGGGAATTATGCATCAAATAGCAAAAAAGCAATGAGATAAGAAAAATGCAGGCCTGGCGCAGTGGCTCACATCTGTAATCCCAGCACTCTGGGAGGCCAAGACAGGCAGATCACCTGAGGTTGGGAGTTCGAGACCACCCTGACCACTATGGTAAAACTCTGTCTCTACTAAAAATATAACATTAGCCGGACGTGGTAGCACAAGCCTGTGATCCCAGTTACTCAGGAGGCTGAGGTAGGAGAATAGCTTGAACCCAGGAGGCAGAGGCTGCGGTAAGCTGAGAGATCACACCATTGCACTCCAGCCTGGGCAAGAAGAGCAAAACACCAAAAAGGAGAGAAAGAGAGAAAAAAAGCCGGGTGGGGGGAGGGGGAGGGAGGAAGGAAGGAAGGAAGGAAGGAAGAGGCAAGCAGAGATTAAATTGATGGGAGGGAATGGCTATAAATTTGATTACTACCACTTCTGAAAAACTGATTATATAGTTTTTCAATCTTTCTAGCCAACTGACAAGTATACAAATGCCTCACAATCACATCTGCCCAGTTCTTCAGTCTACCCTGATACCAAAAGAACAATGCTTTACAACTATTTATATAAATTATGAATGAAAGAAAAACAGATCACTTTCATTTTCTCAATAGCTCACAGAATGTTGACATTTCAAGGAAAGAAATATTGTGTAAGTGTGCTGAGGCCAGGCATGGTGGCTCACACCTGTAATCCCAGCACTTTGGGAAGCCGAGGCGGGCGGATCACCTGAGGTCTCCAACCCTTCCAACATGGAGAAACCCTGTCTCTACTAAAATAAAATTAGCTGGGCGTGGTGGCTCATGCCTGTAATCCTAGCTACTTGGGAGGCTGAGGTAAGAGAATCACTAGAACCTGGGAGGCGGAGGTTGCAGTGAGCCGAGATCGTGCCACTGCATTCCAGCCTGGGCAACAAGAGCAAAACTCTGTATCAAAAAAAAAAAAAACAGTGTGTTGGGTGAGGTTGGGGGTTATGGAAGCTAGCAGGGACATATTTACAAAGAGAAAGCTCAATGGGCCAGGTGCAATGGCTCATGCCTGTAATTCCAGCATCTTGGGAGGCCACGATGACAGGATCACTTGAGTCTAGGAGCTTGAGGCCAGCCTGGGCAACATAGTGAGACCCATTTCTACAAAAATAAAAAAATTTCCTGTGCATGGTGGTACATGCCTGTATTCCCAGCTATTCAGGAGGATGAAGTAGGAGGAATGCTTGAGCCCAGGTTCAAGCTGTAGTGAGCCATGATTGCACCACTACAATCCAGCCTGGGTGACAGAGCAAGACCCTGTTGAAAGAAAGGACAGAAGGAAAGAAAGAAGGAAAGAGAGAAAGAAAGAAATGCTGAATGCTTTCAACAGTCTCCAACTCACTACACGGTCTGTATAACAACTGGTGATTTACAGAGTGAGAGAACTACATATTAAGTTCCCATTCCTACTCAACACTTGACAAATTAGCTGCTGCTCCAAAAAATTGAGCATATCGGCCTTCCTTCTTTGCTTGGGAGAGGAACTCCTTCTTTTTTCATCTCCAGCCAAACAACTTAACTTCTCCTTACTCGCTTGGTAGCCAGCTGTTGGTAAAGAACCTAATTGTATTATTATTTTTCTTGGAATGCTGCTTTTCAAAAGATGATGACTGTGCAGTGGAGCTATGGAAATCTGATGATCTAGATTAGATTCCTACCTCTAGGTAGGAAGGGGTGATGCCATGCTTTGTACAGTGACTTGAACATCGCAGAATGGCAATAAACATTTGTGAAATGAATGAATATCCTCTTTGAGGGATCAGAAGATAAGACGGTGTGATGAGCGACAGCATCCTGCCATCCCCATCACTATACTTAATGGCTTGGAGTTTCCCTAGTAAACATTATAAAAGTTGTTCAACTCTGAAAAAAAGGAGGGGGCAGAACATATGAGATTTTAAATTTTCACATCTCTGAGACAAGCCAGAGTAAACTGAACAGGTTACAGGAAGAAACAAAAGTAAAGAAAAAGGCTGTTGAAGGTTAAACCTAAGCCAAGATTATAGAAGCATTCCCACCTTCCAACCAATGCCAGCATTCTTATAATAGGGGAAGTTATCACAGATCCAGCGGTAAATCTCGCTGAGGGTCATCTTCTTGGCTGGAGAGGAGTTGATGGCATAGGTGATGAGGGTGGCATAGCTGTATCGTGGCTTGCCGTCCTGGTGAACTGCTGCCTCGTCTTTGCTAAGGGTGGCATTAGGATCTGTGGGTGAGCCTGGTGAACACTTGCGGCTGCTCCCGGGAGGCCCAGCCTGGGAGGCACTTCCCAGCTTCTCAATGGTAGCTCGGAGGGTCAGCTGGGGGAGCCAGTCTATGGAGGTGAGGCTACTCTCTAGGTCAGAAGCCATGGTACTTCTGGGTTCTGCAGAGAAGACAAAGAGGCGATGAAAATACTGGGGGCAAGTAATACTCAAATCCTTTTGTTTGAGGGAAGTAAGTTTCTTCCTACCCTCATTCCCATGAGAGACCCATGGCATGGTCTTCCACTGGGTGTTCCCAGAACCCCCAAGCAGGTCTATCTACCAGATGATGAGTGCTAGTTACCCCACATCTTAACGGGGAGCACGGCCAAGAAGCCTCCCCACATAGGATTAAAGAGATCAACCTTCACACCAGATTGAGCCATTTCCTCAATTCACCTTACTTATAGCTCTACAACATAATATTTTTAAACTATGTAGGAATTAGGGTTTTTTTAATCCATGTAGATAGCAGGTAAAATTAGTTAAAGCCCATTCTCCAATCATGTGACACCTGTTATATTTTCATACAACATCCATAGATAGATGGCATGAATGTACAAATAAAGAAAAAGTCTACCAAAATACAAACATACACGGACGAAGCACACACCAACATTTTTAAAGATGTTTCATATTAGATATGAGCGCTTTCCCTTTTTATCCCACACATAGGTGCACCTGAGGCATATTAGATCTATCCCAGGCATAAATTATATATGACAGCCAGCAGACAGACACATAAACAGTGAAGCAAATACAGAGAGATCACGACTACATATACAGCATACATCACCACCAGAGCACAAAGTCACACACAGAAGTAACATATCCTGAGTTCACAGCTGCCCTCACACTTTTAAAGCTACCCCTTGCATGCTCCCGCCCACAGACACCAACACCAGGAAGAAGTCATCCACAAGCACCTCCCACCTCTCAGCCTGCTGGGCTTCACAGAGTCAGGGAGACACCCAGCTGTGTGCCTACCGGTTACAATCAGATAGCCTGGCTAAAAATAGCCACACTGGGGCTCGAGCTGGCTCCCCTTCTCCGCCCTCCTCCTCCCTCCTTCCTTCCCAGCCAGGCAGGCATGCTCGCTGCACCTCCATGCAAACTCCTGGAGCTGCCAGACCGCCTACGCCTGATGTTTGCACACCCTGCTGCCACCCACACTGCCTGGCGCTCTTGCCAGCAGAGAGGTATAGCTAGAGTGACGTCTTGTGGGGGAAGGTGAAGAATGATGGGTGATATCTGAATTGCAGGGTCTAGAGAGGCTGGCAGGAACCACTAGGTAGCCATTTGGCACTCCCATAGCGCTGATGCCAGCAACCCCTAAGCACTTGCTGCCTAACAGGTTTGTGCCTGCACAGCCACCAGGTTCCAGCTAACATTTTCCTCCTCAGTCCCACCAGGGCATTTCTCCTGAGGAGCCAGAACTAGATTGCCTCAAAGTTCAGAATCCTGAGCAGAAACATAGGATGCAAGTGATCTCTAAATCCACAGCCAGATATATACACAAGCATATACAGACAAATACAACAGATCCATACATTTTGCAGTCCAAAGCTCAACAGCAGATGGGACCATGTGCCCCACCCCCTCTCCTGACCCCAATACATCCTTCAAGGTCTCAGCTCCCTCTTCTATCCTAGGTAGTGATTCTTCTGCCCTTAACCCTTAACCCTTTCTCCTAAGGGTCAGCATTCTCACTTACTCCCCTCTCCCTAAGATCCCACCCACGCAGATGGCAATCTGCATGTGTGCACACGTACCCAGCCCTGTGCTCCTAACCAGCAACACACACACTCCACAAGGCTGAAGCAAACACCTTAGTGCCTCAGGGGCCGGGGCAGCAAGAGACCCAACTGTGACCCAAGAATTGTTTGACAGAAGAAAGGGGCGGGGGAAGGGGGATGGCCTGTTTATAAATAGCATCATGAAGGGTTTCCTCTTTATCCTTAGCTTCTCTCCCACCATCCTCCTCTTCATCCCACTACCACCTTGCCCTAAACCATGGAAACTTGGAAACTAATAGGAACACGTAATCATTCCAGGAACCTCACACCTTCCAACACTACTAAGTCAAAACACCCCAGACCCTGGGCTACACAGCAGGGTACCTGTAGCAGGACCACAGTCCTGCAGCTGGGTCATCGAGCTGAAGAGTGGCACGCCGGTGAGCAGGTTTCCAATGGCCAGGGTCCTCCTGGGTCCTCCCCAGATGGGAGGTCCCTAAATTTGTTCTGCCCTATTCCCTATTATCTCCTACTAAAGATCCCTAGGAAATCTCATCTTAAGAGTACAGAGACCTTCAGTTGATACTTCATTTGAAACAACTTTTCCAACATTGGGCAGGGGCATGAGAGTGGATTTAAAGTGTTGAGAGGGCTTACAGAACCCATTTGGCACATGCCAATCACAGCGAGTTCCTGAAAGGGAAGCACTCTCAGCCCTTTGCAAGTTGTTCAATGCCCTTCCCTACCCTTACCCCAGCACCAGGTTAGGACCCTGAGGTTAAATTTAACTTGTCTCCAGCCCCCTTCCAGTCAGCTCTCCAGATTCAGCCCCAGCACTCAAAATACATTCAAATCTCATCAGCTACAAGCAGCTTGTAGCATCTGATCCTTTGGATCTTTCAGCACCATTCTCCTTTAACCCATCCCACTTCCTCCCCCTCTTCACTTCCCCATTTGTGAAGGGCAGCCCAGCATGGAGAGCCACTGAGAATGAGGTTCTTTGGTTCTATTCCAAAGCAAATCCTCCTGGACTGTCCCCAACCATCCCTTGCCTCCCCAATGAAGTTTTGTTTGTTTTTTTTTTTTTTGGAGATGAAGCCTTGCTCTGTAGCCCAGGCTGGAGTGCAGTGGCATGATCTTGGCTCACTGCAACCTCCACCTCCCAAGTTCAAGCAATTCTCCTGCCTTAGCCTCCTGAGTAGCTGGGATTAAAGGCAGGTATCACCATGCCCGGCTAATTTTTATATTTTTAGTAGAGATGGGGTTTCACCATGTTGACCATGCTGGTCTTGAACTCCTGACTTCAGGTGATCTGCCTGTCTTGGCCTTCCAAAGTGCTTGGATTACAGGCATAAACCACCATGCCCGGCCCCCAATGAAGTCTTGATGCCTCAATTTTCCCCTTCAATAAAAGAGATGAACTAATAAGCCCTGCCAAAGCATCGTCCCTGCAGGGAAGTGAATGAAGCTTAATAAGCTTGCGGCTGCCACGCATTCCACACTCCCCAAAATAATGGCACAAGGCTAATGTTCAGGGCTATTATTAGAAAGGCAAACAGAGGTACTTCCATTTCTCAGTCCAACCAACCTAGTTACCCAGACCTCTCTCTCCAGGTGGGCCTCATGCCACGGGGTTTGGGCAGAACCTGAGTCAGGCCGCATTCTTCTGTGTGTGCTGGAAGACTAAAAGGAAATACCCATAGAAGCTGGGAAAGGCAGCCAAAGGGCAGGCTCCATCACATCCACGGGCCGTCTAATGAAGACTACAGAACTGGGAGAAAGGCAGAGAAAAACAGACAGACAGACATTCTGGGAGTGAAAGACCGCTCCTGGATGCAACATGTAAGATCCACAATAACAGACTCAGTTTTCTTCCCATTTTATCTGAAAGGCCACTAATTGTTCTAATGCCAATGTCAGGTATTAAAGTGTGATAACTTCCTGCCCTGTACAGAATGTCAGAACGAAGACGGCAGTGGCTAGGTGTAGCACATGAGGAGTCAGGCTGCCCAGGTTTCAATCACAGCTCCACTATGTTGCAAGGATTACCTTCAGTTAACATTTTTTTGAGCACTTACTAAGGGCTATTTAACTGTAGCTATAGTTTTTGACTGGGGGAAAAAAAGAGAACACTAGAAATTAAAAATTAGCAAACTGACAGACTATAGAGATAGGAGTGGAAGCTGCAAGCCTGCAGTGGTTTGTATTACAAAGCCTGCTCCGAGTCTGCAGTGGGTTTCAGGATGTCAGACTCTCAAACGATTCCTTTGGAGATAATATCATCCAGTATTGGCTAATGCTAGGATCAGGAAGACTCCAAGAATTAAGGAAGGAGGGACCATCATTTCTTATCTTCCAGGAGAACTAGGTTTAAGGCATGGTTTGGGAAAGCACACTCCGTAAACCACAGTTAATCCCACCCAGTAGCCATCTGCTTCTAACTGATTCAAGAGGCAAGGAGGGTTGGGAACTCAGTGCAGCGCCAGTTAAACTGCATGGACGTGGTGTACTTAGAGGTGGGATCCCGTTCACCCTGAGCCATCAGGCAGGTGCACGCCAGCATCTGGTGAAGTACTTTGAAAGAAACAGGCTGCTGTTAACTAGAGTGGCCTCTTTTGTAAAAGGTAGGGGAGGGAGTTCCGGAGTTAGGAGTCAAGGATCTTCATCCTTTTGAGACTAGAGGTATCAGCAGTGAAGCTCTCTTATTGGTCCTAGAAGAAATGATCCCAATCTGAGACTGGGCTTCCCTGCTGCTTAAAGGACTGTCCTGTAGACAGTCATGAGTGCTCCCACTGGCTGGGGGAGGCCGAGCCTTTCTCCTCAGGTGGGCATCCTTACCACCACCTCTCCATGTCCTTGCACAAGGGCACCTGCTTCTAAAAGCTCACCAGAAACATACAATTCTAGGTAACCGAAGTATAGTCTGAAAAACACGTTAAGTACCTGTCTCCACACACATACCCACTCGAAACAGAGAGAGCCACACTCACCTGAATTAAGAAGTATATGCATGTTGTCCTACAGCACAGCCACACAAAGCTGTGCCCTATCTCATATACCACATGAACAGGTAACTTCCAGGACAAGTGACTGTACTCAGGAACTTAGGCAGACCTCACCCATGCCCCAGAGAGAGGAGAAAATATGAAAACCCAAGTCAGATGAAGCCTCCTTCACAACTTGGCCTTGCTGTGAGAAAGAAGATAGGGTATCTGCTAATGGCGAGGAAGGAAAGCAGACACCCAGCTAGTGACCTCCCCTAAAAACAGTCCAGGCTTCACAGGGAGGATTTCCTGGTACCCTTTTCCTGCCTTTTCTGAAGATTCTGGACTTTGATAATTCCCTAGCTTATGAAAGAAAACTTTAACACAAGGTTCCGGAGACTCAGAACTGAACAAGAAACAGGAAGGGAGAGGATGAGACTCTTAGGTACTTTTCTGGAAGGAAATTTTATATACTCCTCAAAAGCCAAATCTTCCCAGTCATCAACTTATTTAGATGGAAGAGCAGCAGCCCTCTTCCCTTTGTATCCAGGATCTAATTTTCCTTGAAAAATTGTGAGCAAAAAACAGGAGTGGAGAAGGAGACTGGGGCAGCATCAAGGAAGCATTTCAACCCAGGAGTTGGCATTCCCCTGCATACTTTCTTCTCGCCTCAGAACATGTGGGATTCCCATTTTCCCTTTGGATTTTACGGGCAGAGGCATGCATCCAGCTAGGAATGGAAATGGCAGGAGAGGAGGCCTCTCGGTGTCGGAGACAGGATGAGTAAGAACAGATTGCTTTTCTTGTCAAGGGAATATGCTGGAGGGAACGAACACCTCTGGCCAATGCGAAGCTGACCTCGGCATGCCCTGGGCAAGGCCAGGACACCAGATGCCACCATGACTTTGATGAGAGCCCACTCTCCATGTGAAAAGGCCCAGGGTGAAGGGTGCTATGGAAGTCTTACCATTGGCTGGGTTGTGCAAATCACTGCTACACAGTATGCATGTTCTCAAAATGCAGCCGTTTTCTGATATCCCTTTTCCTCAGCATGAAAACATCCAGTTCCCTAGGGACCTAAAATCAATCCCATCCCTTCAGTCCCCAAACACTAAGAAACCCATTTCTCAGAGCCTCTGCAGCAAGATGTGGGTTCAAATCTAGAGCTCTCTTGGAACACATTTCCCAGTGGATTTTCTGAGTCATCACTCTATCATCCCCACTAGTGAAACCCACGATCCACCATCTCAGCCCCCTACACCCACTAGTGCCAGACTATGACAGAGAGAAGATGAAACAAAGCACTAACCTGTCTCCAAGGTTCCCCCAGCAAAGGGAGGGAACCACCTGGTACTGGAGTTTGGGGGTAGAGGGATTCCCCTCTTCAGAGGCAGATGACGGCTCTCATCCTCAGTGGCTCTTCCTGTACTTGGCTGAGCCTCCCAAGTTGGTGAGGGGAACTGGGTCCCCTGAGGATGAGGAGTCAGGGGAGGAGGAGGGGGAGGGGGAGGGGGAGGAGAAGGAGGTCCTACTTGGGGAAGGTGGCACACCCCCCACACCCTGCTTGTTACCCTGGGGAGGAGGGGAGGAGCCTCTCCCAACCAGGAGTTGTCTCCTCCCCCTTGGGGGAGTTCCCCTCCCCCCCAAACTGGATCTTTCTGGGGTGGAGGGCTCTTTCTGTCTGCTGGAGATCTGAGCGGAGGGGCTCTACCCCGTTCCACTGTCTAGGTACGAGGAAGTTGAGGGGGAGGTCTTCCCCTCTCCAGCTGAAAGCCAATTCCTCTTCTTTCCCTGGAGTGGCTTCTGAACGTAAGGACTCCCGTTCCCCGCGAATACTGGTGGGCCGAGGGTGCCTACTCCATAGGCACAACCCCCTCTCTCTTTGCCTCGAAAGTCCTGAACTGTTGAGAGTGTGTGTTTGGAGGGGCGGAGGCGCGCTAGGATGGTCTCACTCTGCTTCCCTAAGGAAAGCTCCCCTCTTTCCACTTCTGGGGTCTCCTCCCCGGCCAGTACAGCGGTCTTCCTCGCCTCTAGGCAGGAGAGACGCGTCCCCTCCAGGGGTCTCTTCTTTCCCTCACCCGAGTGGTAAGGGTCTTCTCTCCAACAGGGGGAGAGGTTGCTCGCGTCCCCGCTCCCGCCTCCGCTCCCGGGGTGCCTCAGAGGGTGGGGTTTTCGTACTCCCGGCTCTCCCAGAGCTGGCCTGGGCAGCACCGTCCGGGAGGCCGCGGCTCGAGACTCCCGTCCCTGCTACTGTGGCGGCAGCGCCTCCTCTGGGGCCGTCCTGTCCACTCCGCTCCCCTCGGCGCGTGGGGCTCCCCGCGCTGCCACCGCTCGGGCTCCGGCCAGTCCGGGCTCCCGGGGAACCAAAAGGCGGACGGACAGTGTCAGGGCTCGGCGCGGGCTCGGGCTCGGCTCGGCTCCGCTGCAGGCCCCGGCTCCTCCCCGGCCTCCGCGCGGCGCTCCCGCCCCTCCCCGTCCCCCGCCCGCCGCCGCCGCCGCCGCCGCCGCCTCCCCGCGCGGGTTAAGGAGGAGCCGGGCAGCGCCTAGCCGCGAGCCGCGCCGCCCGGGTGTGCGCTCCGCCTGGAGAGCAACGGCCGCGCTCACGATGGCGCGGGGTCTCGCCGCCCTTTGCCCACCTGCGGCCGCGTCGCTCCGGGAACCCGCCGTCTACCGGGGATGACAACTCACTGCTCCCCATCGGGAGATTCCCTCGTGCACACCGTACACCGTCAATTCCAGCTGACACTCCAACTCCGGCGTTTCATTCTGTTGAACTCCGTAAACAGATAAACAGCCCCAGCTTTCTCAGGACTATCTCCGATGGACTTCTCTTTCCCTCCAGTAAAGGATCATGAGCCTTGAGGTGAAGATTGGGGTGAAGTTTATGTTTCCCTGATACCATCCTGGAATTTAGTAAATGCTCCTTCAATGAATGGATACATGAAAAATGAGCGTGTAGCCGGGCGTGGTGGCTCACGCCTGTAATCGAAGCACTTTGGAGGCCAAGGCGGGCGGATCACCTGAGGTCGGGAGTTCAAGACCAGCCTGACTAACATAGTGAAACCCCATCTTTAAAAAAATAAAAAGAAAAAGAAAAATGAGCGTGTAACGGTGAAGTAAACATCAGAAGATCTGGGTCCTGTTCCTTGTTCCAGCTTCGTAAACTTGTGCATGGCCCTTATTGTCTGTAATCTTGTTCAGCGAAGAAAGGCTGCCTGCTTACCCTTTACAGCTGTCATATCCTGAAATCATATTATTCTGCTCCAAAGTCTTTCTGCCTGTTTACCCTTTACCGCTGTCATATCCTGAAATCGTATTATTCTGCTCCAAATTATTTCTTATATATTTCATACTCTGGCTTTCCCGCACCCCCCACCCCGACCCTGACGAAGTTTCGCTATGTCCCCATGCTGGAGGACAGTGGTACGATCTTAGCTCACTGCAATCTTCGCCTCCCGGGTTCAAGAGATTCTCCCTCCTCAACCTCAGGAGTAGCTGAGATTACTGGCGAGCGCCACCACGCCCAACCTATTTTTGTATTTATAGTAGAGTCGGGATTCACCATGTTGGCCAGGCTGGTCTCGAACTCCTGACCGCGTAATCCACCTGCCTGGGCCTCCCAAAGTCCTGGGATTACAGGCATGAGCCACTGCACCCGGCCCATACTCTGGCATTTTAAACTTCTCTCAAACTACTCTACTTTGCTCCCTCCTTCCTTCCTTCCTTCTTTTCTTTCTTCCTTTTTTCCATACTTCTTTCTTTCTTTTAATAGAGACAGTATCTTACTATGCTGCCCAGGTTGGTTTTGAATTCCTGGGGTTAAACTATCCTCCCGCTTTAGGCCTTCAAAGTTCTGGAATTACAGGCAGGATCCATGGCCTCGGCCTACTCCCTACTTTATATAACATAAGATAATATGAGGCCAGGCGCGGTGGCTCATGCCTGTAATCCCAGCACTTTGGGAGGCCAAGGCAGGCGGATCACGAGGTCAAGAGATCGAGACCATCCTGGCCAACATGGTAAAACCCCATCTCTACTAAAAAATAAAAAATTAGCTGGGCGTGGTGGCCTGCGCCTGTAGTCCCAGCTACTAGGGAGGCTGAGGCAGGAGAATCGCTTGAACTCGGGAGGCAGAGTTTGCAGTGAGCCGAGATCGTGCCACTGCACTCCAGCCTGGAAGACAGAGTGAGACACCGTCTCAAAACAAAACAAAAGGCTGGGCGAGGTGGCTCATGCCTGTAATCCCAGCACTTTGAGAGGCCTAGGCAGGCGGATCACGAGGTCAGGAAATCGAGACCATCCTGGCCAACATGGTGAAACCCCGTCTCTACTACAAATATAAAAAATTAACAGGGTGTGGTGGCGCACGCCTGTAATCCCAGCTACTCGGGATGCTGAGGCAGGAGAATCACATGAACCCAGGAAGCAGAGGTTGCAGAGAGCCGAGATCGATCGCACCACTGCACTCCAGCCTGGGAGACAGAGCAAGACTCCGTCTCAAAAATAAAAGATAATAGGAATACAAAAATACTGCTCGCAAAATATTTGAATTACCCCCCAAAAGACTGCCTACTTAAGTTATATGTATATATTAATAATTATATTTATAATATGCCAGGCACTGCACTGAGCATTTTGAGTGTGTTATCATATTGATTATTCTAGCAATTCCCTAGGATCCTAAGACACTATTATTATACTTATTTTACAGATGAGAAAATTGTGACTTACAGATACTATGTGTGAGTTCACTTAATTAGTAAGTAGCAAAGTCATGACCTAAATCCAAATGACTCCAATGTCCAGCTTTTACTATACATACCATTGTCTGGAACGATTAGAATTTAAAGTCGTCCTCAAATTTAAAGGTAGTAAACCAAACCAAGCCTTTTCTTCCTCCTCACACTTCCTATATTCAGGTTTAAAGATGTATTTTTCCCCTTTTTGAGGCATTAAATAATTCTCCCACACGCAGATAATGTGGCAGCACATCTTTCTTGATATGTGTTGGATGTTTTGTTATGTTTCAACCATTTTCAACATGTCCTGTGTATGGAAATTGGAGGGCACGAATGACACGCAGAAGTACTAAAAATGGAAACATAAGAGAAGGATTAGAATCTTCTTTCCTGACAATTTGGAAAAATAAAAAGCTCAAGAAATTATTTGATTTTTACAAGATAATTGCTGCAGTATGTTTGTAACTGGAAAATTAGCAAAGACCTAAATATCCAAAATAAAGTAATTTTAAGGGCCGGGCACGGTGGCTCACGCCTATAATCCCAGCACTTTCGGAGGCCGAGGCGGGTGGATCACGAGGTCAAGAGATCGAGACCATCCTGGTCAACGAGGTGAAACCCCGTCTCTACTAAAAATACAAAAATTAGCTGGGCATGGTGGCGCGCGCCTGTAGTCCCAGCTACTCGGGGGGCTGAGGCAGGAGAATTGCTTGAGCCCAGAAGGCAGAGTTTGCGGTGAGTCGAGATCGTGCCATTGCACTCCCGTCTGGGTTAACAACGGCGAAACTCCTTCTCAAAAAAATAAAATTTAAAAAAAAAAGTAATTTTAAGTACATTATGGCACGTCTGTACAGTAGAGTACCACTTAGCATTTAAAAGAATAATTGTATTTATCTCTGAAAGGTAGAATTAGTGAAGTTGTTTTACTTTTATTTCTTCTTTATCATTCAGATATTTTGCAGTACGCATATTTTAAAGAACCATTGTTTCATATATCTGACTTATTTGAGTGAGAAAATATTTTAAAATTTTTATAATGCAATCATATAGTTGCTTTTTAAAATATACATGTTCACCGGGCTCGTTGACTCACGCTTGTAATCCTAGCACTTTGGGAGACCAAGGTGGGTGGATCACCTGAGGTCAGGAGTTGAAGACCATTCTGGCCATCAGCTGGGTGCGGTGGCTCACGCCTGTAATCCCAGCAGTTTGG